ATACTCGCTTTTCGCATAAATCGCGAGCTCTTCTACAATTTAACACCTTTAAATAACACCTGCTATTAGGCTTATATTTATTTGTGCCAAATCCATTTGGCGCTCAAATTTATGCGCTTTTATGTTAAATAAATAAATGCATTTTCTTGCTGGCGCTTTAATTGATATATAAAAATGGCTGGCCATTAAACAAATGCGCGCCCGGCCAATTCATTTAGCAATTAAAACAAGCTGCGGCCGCCGACTGCTTAAAAAAAAAAAAAAAAACAAAACAAATAGCAAAAAAAAAATATAATAAAAATAAACTATTATATGCAAATCATGCACAGACTACCATATATATATATATAGTTATATATATATAATTCATTTGTTAAAACCATTTGCCGCCCATTTATTTGCTAGTATTTCTTTTGCATTTATTATAAAATTTTATAAATTTTTTTGTTATTTCTGTGCTTTTTTGTGTGTTACGTTCTCGTTGCAAATTGAGAGAGAAATATGTTGTCCTTTTAGGCGTTGACAAATCGACGCTCGCAGTTGTTGCACACACAAAAAGCGGCATCGAGGCGGGAATAATAATTTTTTGGCACGACTGCCATGTTAACATGTCCCCAGACACGTAAACGACTCCAGCGCCTGCTGCTGCTCCAGCTCCAGCTCCTGCTGCTGCTCCTCCTCCTGCTCCAGCTCCAGCTCTAGTGGCAGCTATAGCACACGCGTTGCAGTTTATTATGTGCATGTGTCCTGACTCTCTGCGCTCGGGGCTGGAGCTCAACGCTTGCGGCTTGTAGCCACCATTAGTGAACACGGCAATGGCAATGGCAACGGCAACGGCAACGGCAACACGACTGCCAGTCCGGGTAACTGTGATTACGGCCATGTCTGAAGAGAGCCCCAAACAGCCAACAGGTTTATCATGTGCACTTGCTGAACCTCTGGCCCCTGGCTCCCCTCACCGCCTTCCGTCCCTGTGCCGTGCAGAGCTCGTGTCTGGATCCGGGTTTGGTTGCATTTGCATTTAAATATAAATACGTGCAGAGCTTTTGGGGGTCGGCTGGCAGACAAATTACTTTTTAAATGCACTGTAAGCCTTCAATTGTAATTGGGCAACGACGAGCGCCGTTGCCTGTGTGCGATTGGCCTGCTGCGGTTTGAAACTTTGCCAAAGAGGCGAGCAAAAACTTTTGAGCGACGCGCATTAAAAAACAATAAGGCGAACCAGAAAAAAATATATATATAAGTGTGTATATAGATTGCCAAGTGCCAAAATGGTAAAGCCTGCGCTTGCCTCCTAAGCGATTGGCAGAGGTGGAGAGGGAGAGGAAGGGCGCAAGCTAATGGCGTCACGTTTGCAGGACCCTGCCGCAAAAGCAAGTGGCATGCAACATGCGATTGCTGCCAAAAGTGCCGCCTGGCACAAGTCCAAGCCTGCCGTTCGTATAGTTTGGCTTGTTAGTTGCCAGACGGCAAACGGCAAATGCGGCAAATGCGGCATGCGGCATGTGGCAGCCTGTTGCACACAGAGTCAGAGTCGGAGTCAGAGTCGGAGTCAAAGTCAGAGCTAGTCAGAGGCGTGCTGCCTGCCTTCGGCGTCGTGTTGAATTTTTCATTTCATTTGGCGCAGCAATTCACTTGAATGGGAATATCGTGTCGTCGTCTTCAGGAAGCGGAAGTGCCAGCCAAACAACTGCACACATAGCATATAATAAACGTTCATATTCGACTCGACTGACTTACGACCACAGGCAGACATCATTTCACGAAGGCTTGCCTTTTTTAGGGGCCATCGCCAAGCCGCCCCCAATTCAGAGTGCAGAGTGGAACAGAAAGAGAGAGAGAGAGAGAGAGACAAGACTTGCGGTTCGGGATTATATGGCTATCAAATTGACGTTAATGAATTAATTTATGAGCTCTTGCGGCTCTAACCGAGCCTGTTGCACTATTTGAGGAGCAGCGCTAATTAGCGAGGCAGTCCGATATAGATATAGGAGCGTAATTGGAAATGACAGGGATTAGCTGAGCAGGGGCGGGAGCAGGCAGAGGAGCTGATGAAGTATTTGGATTTGTTCATGGAACGAGTTGGAAAATGAGTTTTGATAAAGAGATTTTTGAAGGACGAGAGTGGCATATAAAGATATGATATGATATGAATGAAATGCAGGGAAGACAGCTAAAGAAATCATTAAAATCAATTAAATTGAGTTGTCTGTAAAAGTGCATCAAATTAATTAATTCTACGTAATTGATATTAATTTATAGCAACAATGATTTAATAGATACTTGGCTGGCAAATAGTATAGCTAACTAAATGATAAGATATAAGAAAACTGAAATCATTCGGCCTATGCAGCAATACAGATAAAGTAAAGAGTTGATATACTAACTAGTACCACCTAGTAGATGTGTATATGGGAAACAGATATACGGTAAGCATGTAATTTAGCAAGCATAGATAGGAGCTCGTTATGCTCCAACTCGTTACTCCCAACTACACTGCGCTCCACACTTCCACTTCAGCGCTTGTTGCACTGCAATTTGTCCAGTGCAATTTTCGTGAAACATGTCGAAAGATTTACACGAACAACACGACAGCTACAACAGCAGCAGCAACAGCAGCAGGAGCAGAAGCAGGAGTCGACATTGTCGCGCGATTGGGGCACGTACCGTTGGCTGGCACTAAAACGCCTAATGACGTTTACACGGCCAACATAATTACAGTAATAATGTGGCTGACTCTCGACACTGGTGATGACATTAGTGAGGTGTCAGGCGACAATTTAACGAGACGCGCTGCATATGCGCGAAAAGGATTCGTCTTTTGTGTGCCACATGCAACACAGTCGGCAGCAACAGCAACAGCAACAGCAAGAGCAACGGCAACGGCAACGGCAGCTGCTACAAAGCACATTCGTCACGAAATGAGGCAACAACTCTACAGCGCGGCAGCTCGTGCGTGCGTGTGTGTTGGCCACCATTTTGTATGCTTTTAAATTAGCCAATGTGTGAAAGTGTCATGTTTCGAAATATGAAATTAACAGGCAGCCGGGCGGCGAAGCGACCCGACTGGGCAGGACATAGCCGCGATGGTGTGCGCCAGTGTGTGGCATGCTGTTGATATGCTATAATTTGTTGGCGAAAATTGAAAGGAAGTGCACTTCAATAATTATGTGTTGTTCCTCTCGCTGTTTTTGGTGCTGCTGCTGATGTTGCTGTTGCTGTTGCTGCTGTTGCTGCTGTTGCTGTTTGGCATTTCATTTAAAATTTCATGAGCAGCAGCAGCAAATGAGCTAAAGTTGATGAAAATGCTCCTCCGAATTTCTTAAAAATTTTGTTTGCCGTAATTCATGTTACCTTGCTTAAAATATTTTAAAATTTATGTTAATTTTTAATTAAAGTACTTAAGCAACTCTTTAACTCTTTTAATATACTCTAACATTTAATTATTTTCTGTAATTTCTATAATTTGCCAACTCGATCTGCTATTTACTCTTCATATATCTCGCCTATCTTCGACTTCAGCATTTGCAGCTTAAAGCTGTTGGCGTTCATCTGAGCAGCATTTGTATGTTTCCACGATTCATAGACACAGAGCAGAGATACACATGATACACATAATTATGTAATATCCAATGTTCATTGTTGGCTCATTAAAATACATTACAAAGATGCTCAGCAGAGTGCAGGCTGCCTTGTTCCTGGCGCCTCGTGCCAGGAGTTTCAGATGGCCGGCAGGTTGGCCTGCCTGCGGTTGCTTTGCTCCCTGGATATTTAGCTTGGCCTTTGCATAAACTTGAGTCTCATATTTCATTAATTAAAATTGTGTTTGCTGGGGCTGCTAACTATGTACATGAAGCACCTGTTTAGCTAAAGTCTCATTAACAAACACACTCGCAGGCCGGACAGCTGAAATTATGCAATATAATATCATTGTTACATTGATTAATGATTTGCAAAATCATAAAAGCTACCCACTCCCAGCCTCCGGCTTGGCTCGCCTCGGCCAGCCTCCCTGTTTCGGGTTTTGTATTACAAAAACAGTCAACTCATCTGCAAAACGTCTTAATTATAACAAAACAAAATGCCAAGGCACATGAAATGTTGTCGCTTCAATTGTCATACGACGGCAGCTCGCAGCGGTGTGGGAGTCGAGGCGGAAGTGCGAAATGTGAAGCGTCCATTATTATGCTAATTAATTGACATCAAAGAAAGCTACAAAGAGAGGGAGACAGAGATAGAGAAACCGATATAGTGAGACAGAGAGAGCGAGAGGAAGAGGAAGGGAGGCAACATCTTTGTTGCTCAATGTTACAAAATCAATGACAGCCGACAATAGATAACATCGTGATTCAATGTACTTGACTGTAGATAGGGCGCGAGGCACAGACAGCCGTATATATACATATATTCATATATATATAATATGTATGTATGTATAGGAGCAGCCAGGTAGGAGGTACTTATATTATATATTATAAAGAGCGCGCAGCTTGTAAGCCGATTTCAATGGAAATGCAAATTGAAGTGCGTTGCCAATTATTTTGTTATTTACGAGTATTTTTGCTTTTTATCATTGTTGCTGTGGCTGTGGATCACAAAGGCATATAAAATGTAATATGATAATAATGAGCAGTCCGCTTCGCATAACAAAAGCCAAGCGCCAAAGTGCACAGACAGCGGCGGGCGGTTGGGCGGTTGGGCGGGGCGCTGTGCGTCAGCTGAGACAAGGTGTGGTGGGGAACGGTGCCGTCACACAGGTAAAAATAGGGCAACGTTGCCAGCGCCGTCGAGTGACAAGGCACAAAATAATGGCCTGTAATAGGATTTGCCATTGAATGGTGCCAGGCCCTGGAACGGGAGCCGGGGAAGCGGGGAAACGGGGAACCGGGAATCGGGAAACGTGAAACATGAAACGAGAAATGAGAAACGGAAGAGCCGCCAATAAATATGCAATGCCACTCAGTGAGCTCACAATGTGAATCCAATTATTTCCTTTGCAGGGTGCATCCTCCAGCCTGGTTGTCAAATACGCCGACACGGAGAAGGAGCGACAAATAAGACGCATGCAGCAAATGGCCGGTCATATGAACCTATTGAATCCGTTTGTCTTTAATCAATTTGGACCGTACGGCGCCTATGCGCAGGTAAGTAGCCGTGCACCCGCACACACAGCCTCACAGTCACTTCAGTCAGCTTGATTGCAATCCTTTGTGCCTCATTAGCAACAACAGCAGGCGGCTCTGATGGCCGCTGCGGCCACAGCGCCGGGCTCGGCGGCTGCCTACATGAACCCAATGGCCGCCCTGGCAACGCAAATACCTCATGGCCTCAATGGCACCGGGCAGCCGCCGTCGCTGCCCTCGCCGACGATGCCCAACTTTAATATGGGCGCCAATACGCCCAATGGGCAGCCAGGAGGCGCTGCCGCCGCTGCTGCAGCTGCCTCGGTGGCCGACGGTGTCTTCACGAATGGCATTCCACAAACGGCATTTCCACGTAAGTGTTCACATCGAATTACAGGGTATATTGGCAGCCAGCTAACGATCACTATTTATTGATATTCATATGAAGATCTCACACTCGCTCCAGATCCGCTGCATCTGACCATACCACCACAAGGTTTGCCAAATGGCGATGCTGCTGCACTGCAACATGCCTTCCCTGGTTTGCCACCATTTCCAGGAGTTGGTAAGTGCCCAAGCTCTGCCTAGCCTTAGACACTCTCTCTTCCTCTCTCTCTCTCTCTCTCTCTTAAAATCTTTATATATATATATAACTTATGCATTAGACTAAGAGAACTACGTATCTGATTGTGCTCAAAAAGAAAATATTAATAATAGTTTAGAACAAGTCCCATAGGCACAAAATGTCAATTCATCATTCATTATAGGACCACACACTCCCACCAGACCCTACCCACCGACCCACTCTCTCCCATTCCCTCCCTCTCTCACACTCTCTGTGTCTCTCATGCATTATCATGTCAGTTTCTCTCATAACATCATTGTCTTAAAAAATGAAAAATAATACTGAAAATAAAATGTAATTCAACCACAACAACAGACAGAATAAACAGTTCAATCATTCATAATTGTTTTTATTGAAATAATTAATAATTGTTGTGTCATGCCATAAATATATATATATATTGTTAGTAAAGTGTTATATATAACTCTAACTTCTATATATACATAAATATTTAATTTGTGTACAAAAGAAATGCAGAATTCAAGTCAGGTCTGGCCGCAGCGCTCTTCTATGTGCTTCTCACAATCAAAGGCAGACTCACCTCAGCGAGCTACACTTGAATTGAAATCTGGACTTCTTTGTTTTGGCTTTTATGTTGAAAACTTGTTCTCATTGTTTTTAATTATATTTTGAATATAATCGAACCCAAAATTTGTTGTTTCAATGTTTGACGTTTGACATTTCTTTGCGAAAACACGATCTGAAATTGGTTTATCTTGTATACCTTATTTTGTTATTGTCTATGAAAGTCAAATGGACTTCACTCTAGAAATCCAGTTGCCCACTTTAGCTGGTGTCTCTTAACTCTCCGATGTTGTTTCTGACTGGAATATATAACTAAGTATTCTACTGATCTGATCTGGTCGTAGTTTATCAATCATCTATGATTATTATTTATCTTTGTTTCGTTCATATGAATTTAGTTAAACTGAAATATCCTACAAGAGAACTTACTTTAACATAAAACAAAAAATCATATATATATATATACGTATCTTAATTGTTGTGTTGTCTTTATAAATGTTTCGGATTTTGTGTAAAAACCAAAAACAAAAATTATTTATATATAACGCAGCCTTTCCCGCCGTCTATGGACAGTTTCCACAAGCTTTACCACCTCCCCTAGCGGCGGTTGCACCCACTCAGCGTGAAGGTAAGCTTTTCATTATTATTTTGTCGGTTGCTCTCTCTCTCTCTCTATCTCTATCTCTCTCTCTTTTTTGTTTCCTTCCAACTTTTCCTTAGTTTCTTTACTGTAAATCAATATTGTATTTGAGTTTTGTTGATGAGTGATGTGACGAAGAGCTCTCAATTTTATAAATGAATGTTTTGACTTACATATATAGCTATATAAATATATATAAATATACATACTAATCATTCAGACATATAAATATACACACACACACAAACGCTTGCATCCTCATAGAAATTGAACTGAAAAGCCCAGCGAAATTAATTACATAGATTCTTTTTTTCCTTCTTTGTATCAATTTGTGTATTCAAAAACCCTTTTGGAAAGGTTCGCGATGGGCGTAAATCGTTTTTAATGGCTGCATTTAAAGGCATTTTATGGGCGATCGTAAAAATTGCATATAAACTGCTTAAAATCACATAAAAAGCAAAGATATTCGCCGGAAAGGCTTGCCAAGGCACATGAAAAATCATAAAATTTTACGTTCGCTTTGTTTTATATTTTTATATATATATATTTTTTTTTTCTTTTGTTTCACCCCCAAGAGAAAACTATGTAAACGTTGTCGAGACAAGATAAAAGCACAGCCATTAATAAGGCGCATATAGAATGTCTATATACATCGTCTCTCTCTCTCTCACTCTCTCTTTCTGTATGTGTGTGTGTGCGTGTGTATATGTGTCTATATGTATATGTATCTAACCTTAAGCCTAACTTGTTCGTAACGTGTTTATCATTTATGTTTCTCTATATACAATTTGTTGCGCGTAGCTAATTGTTAATTGTATTTTTCAAAAAATTTACTTAGTACTTAACCTGCATGCCACACACACACACACACACACACACACACGCATAGACACACATAAAACTCAGCTTTGCTGAACTCATAAAACATACAATCCTTGTACCAGGATATGCGAAATTCGGGACGATTTATCATAAGCTTATAACTTAAGTATATAGCATTAGAGAACTGGTAGCTCATTAAGCATTCTTAGCATATACGACTATGTCTTATATACTATATATATACATAAATACTTTAGCCTATGCAAGCGTATTTTGTTACTGTTTGTTTGATTTTTTTTCTGTTCCCCCTCCCCATATAAATATGTATCGAATATATTTTCTACATCATTGTTTTGTCATTTAGTTTTCGAGTTTTATGCAACGCATTAGCTTTAGTTGAATCGTCTACAAAATCAGCCACAAAACACGAAACACACAAAGCAAACAAATAACTGAATCTATATATATTTGAAGAGAAACTCAAGAACAGCCATGAATAAATCTATACAGCAGACAAACTCATAAAGTTCGAATTTATGATTTAGCTCATCGTTTAATTTGTTTTCTCTACTTTGTTTCTTTTCTTGTGATGTCTTCTTTTAAGATTTTCTGATGTTCCCAGGATGTTCTATATCCGGCCCGGAGGGCTGCAATCTATTCATCTATCATTTGCCCCAAGAATTTGGTGATGCTGAGTTAATGCAAATGTTCCTGCCGTTTGGCAATGTGATCAGCTCTAAGGTCTTCATCGATCGTGCAACAAATCAAAGCAAATGTTTCGGTAAGTCCAAATGATCCTTAAAGCTATAGCAATTTTCATATATTGATTTCTAATATTCAACTTTGTACAATTTTGTAGGTTTTGTTTCATTTGATAATCCCACCAGCGCTCAAGCGGCCATTCAGGCCATGAATGGCTTCCAGATTGGCATGAAAAGACTGAAAGTTCAATTGAAGCGGCCAAAGGATGCCAGTCGACCTTATTAACAATCGGAGTTCCTTAAGCGTAACCAACAGCAACAACAACAACAACAACAACAGCAGCAGCAGCAGCAACAACAAATACAAGAGCAACAACATATACAACAACAGATACAGATACAGCTTCTGCAACAGCAACAACAACAACAACAGCAGCAGCAGCAACAACAAATGCTGCAGCAACACCAACATCACCACCACCAGCAGCAACAACAACAACAGCAGCAGCAACATCAGCTATATCAACAACATCAACAACAACAGCAGCAACATCATCACCTCCATCAGCATCATCAATATAATGCAACAACAACAGCACCATCTACAGCAACAATAACAACATCACCAAACAATCCCAACAACAATTTTCGACCACAATTAGCAAATGATCGCAATGCAAATCGCAATACGATTCCCTATACCTTTGCTAGCTGGCGCAATGGCACCTATTGCTATCGCTATAGCAGCAACAGCACCAATGCCAGCAACAATAACAACAACAACAGCAACAACAACAATAACAGCAACAACAATAGCAATGAGAACATTAACTGTTCTCATGATACAAGTAACTATTCCAAAGTAGAGCTCGTCGAGAAGTTGTTCTTGTGGCAACAACAGAAACGAAAAGCCTAACAGCAGCAACAGCAACAAGAGCAGCAGCAACAGCGACAGCAATACGAACCACAGCAACAACATGGATCAACTTTTTATTAGGGTAAGCTGAAAATTTAATCATTTATTTTGACTAATATATAAATACCATTTATTTGTGTAAACCAACGCTGTATCAATTTAGTGGCCTGCCATTATTATTAATAATTTACATTAGTGGCAAGAGGCTAGACTCTTTCTTTTACATTGCACTGTTAAAGTCAGCATTGTCACTTATGTTTTGTCTTAATTTCACGAATTCATATCGAGCCTCAGTAGCCGTCCCACTCTTACTCAGTAAGACACGAGACTATGTTAATTAACAGGCACCATTGAGCAATCAATGCTAAAGCTTTTAGCAGCTCACAGTTAAGCAGCTATCCTTCCCTCTCTCACTCTCATGGAGACGACTATAAAAAGAACTAAAACTCAAACACTTCTACAGCTCTGTACATGCAAATGTAAATGCTCCTAGCCTTGCACTAATACCAATGACGACCAAATCGAACAGCATAATTCAACTTTAAACACCAGTGACAATGGATGACTTCTAAATCATTTTTTCTATTATTTGACCTCAACTAGCAGTTATTCAATTATTTCTAATTTTCAAATCATTCGAAATTTCAAATTAACTAACATATTTATATACCTCTTTCAGATGGACTTGAAACAATGAATTTTGCAAATGCTAAGTGAAGCACAGCCGCAGCAAATAGAAAAGCTAAGAACAAAATAAGAATGAAAAAACTAAGAAAATAGTAAATAGAAAATGTAAAAAAAATTCAGAGCATATATGCACATGTATTTATACAGGCAGCTGAAAGCGTACTTAAACAGAATGTATTGAAAAAAAAAAAAAAAAATTAAGAGAAAAAATTACCAAAAAAAATCTATAAAAAAAATAATTAAACACTACACACACAAAACAATTTTTTGCCAAAATGACGAATATATATATATACATATGTACATAGATATATATATATATCGACATACATATATATATATATTTATAGAGCAAGCAACAAACATTGATATTGAGCAACAACTGTACACACACAAACATCTACTCACACACACATACCAAAAACTTGAGACAAAAACTGACTGGTAAGAGACCAAAATTATCTGGGTTTTCAAATAAAAAAAAAAGAAATTAAATAATAATCTTAAAAACAAAGCAAAAATAAAATTTAAAAAAAAAAAAAAAAGAATACTGCAGCAACCATTTTTATATACAAAATAAAATATGGAATTTATTAAAATCTAAAAACAATATATATGCTGTAAAAAAATACACAGAAATCAATACAAAAGAAAATAAAAAAACAAACAAAAACCAAAAAAAAAAAAAAAATTACAAAAACTGAAATTGTTAATTGAAGAAGTAATAAAAACAGAAAACATATGCAAATGAGTTGAAAAAGTTTAGGAGGCGTTATGGATAGAGCGTAGTCGGATGATATAGGACGATCGATTGATTGATTGATATGTAGCTCTGCAACTTTTTAGCATTTAGTACTAAGCGAATTGGCGATGGATATATTAATATATATACATAAACCTATAAATGCAAATAAAAATTAACACAAAAATTCGAATTTAATTAATTGTAAGATGATAAAAATTAACTTAGCACTAGGTGAAATCAGTAAGCAGAAAAATAAAAAAATAAAAGGAACAGAACTATATATATATACATATGTATGCATATATATATATATACATATTTGCGATATGCTTTTGAGAGAAATACACTTAAGTCCAACAATTTAAAGAGAACCACAAATGGTTTTTGCGTGTAGCCTGCAACAAACAAAGCAAAACAAATATCATTTTTATAATATATAAATGAGAAACTAAAAACAAACAAACACAAATAAATAATTTAATTATAATAATAAATTTGTTAGAAATACATATTTAAAAAAGAGAAAATGTAAAACAACGCAAGTTGGATAAATTCAATTCATTTTACATGGAAAACACTTTTGAGTTAGGCAACTAGGAAAATCGTAAACGATTTTATAGCATTAATATATATGTATATAATATATATACATATGTATATGTATACATATATACATATATTACAAAAGGAAATCAAACAAAACTTTACACTTAATCTTAGCTGCTTGTAACAAAAACAAAAAACCAATACAGGTACTTACGAATATATATGTATGTATATATATGCTTGCATATATGTATATGTATATATTGAAATAAAGAACTGTATATATACATATATGTATATGTATATATATATTTATATGAGGAAACTATATAACTAAAAAAAAGTTGCCAGGGTACATATATATATATACATACATTTCTATATGTACGACAGACAACTAAACATTTTGGCCACTTATTTTCACAAGCTCCAATTAGTAAAAAAAAAGCAACTAACAAGAATGATGTTGACCATATAACGCGCCCTTAGCCCTGTTAAGAGAACTAAGCTAACAGAAACAGAAAAAAAATTCACACAGTCATTAAAATAAAGAACACATAATAAATCTTAAGTGCATAAATTATTATTGATGAAAATATATATATATATATATACATATATACATATTTAGCATTTTTTTATATATACAATTAAAACAAAAACATTTTTAGCGAAACTAGAAAATTGAACACAACACTTTTATATTTCAATTGATATGTTTTTGCCTTTAATTAAACAAACACACAAACACATACTTGCAAGAAAATATCTTACTAAAATATATTTACTCAACTCTGTTTGAAACATCATTACAAAACATTTTTGACATTATCTTGAACAAGAAGAAGAAGAGGAGGATGAAAAAGTTATATCTGTACAAAACAAAGAAAAGTGAAAGATTGTCAAAAATCTACAGCTAAATATGCCAAAAAAAAAAGTTGATGAGAAAACAAGAAGAAGCAACAAATAATTGATTAACAATTATTTGGAGTTTGTATAGTGTAAACGAGAGAAGAAGAAGAGGTAAAATAAAATTGAAATACATTTAGCGCCTAGTCTGCGGGCTTGGAACTAAAGCTCGCGACAAACACATATTTGATACTAATGATAAAAATAAAATATATATAAAAAACTAAAAAACACAATTAATTATTAAATAATAAATAAATATATATTATATAAGAATATTTAAGCATACAACAAATTGTTATGAAAGTTAAAGTTACTTTTGTTACCAGTGCAATATATAATTTGTTTACATTTCAGTTTCACACACACACAGACACACACACACAAGCACACTCACACCCAGTCATACAAAGAGGAAATATAATCAAAAGCAACAGCAGCCAGAAATCATGAAGAGTTGGAACAGAGTATTACGTAGTTAGTTAGTTCCAATCCAAATCCAAATCCAGTCCCATATTTCTTGGCAAAAGTATTTTTGTCTCAAAGCTTAACTAATTTCAATTAAGTACGTTTTCTTTTATGAAATGTTACGCCTAGAAATCTTGTAAATATAAACGAAACTCGAAGGCGGATGAAAGTCCCCCCCAAATTGCAAAAGAAAAGAAAATATAAAATGAAAACACACGCAAGGATGCAAATGCAACTGTGCATAATATACATACATTAAAAAACAAATACTTAAATATAGCTATATATAAATACATTCATGCATACATACATACATACTTACTTAAATTTAAATGCATAATTTAATATCAATAATTGATTTTTAGCAACTATTCTGTAGTTAAACAACAGTTGAGTAACAGTTGAGTAACGCCCTCAGATTTTTGCAGCTTCGAAATGCTAATCTAGATTTTTACTAGAGCAACTTACACTACTCTCACGCACACTGACACTCACATTCTCACACACACACATATACACACTCTCACTATATACATATATGTATTTGCGATCTTGTATGAATCGATCTAGTCAAATTCAAGTTAATTATTGCATAAAAAACATACAAGAAATAAATAAACAAAAATGAAAACCAACTTAAAACAGAGTCAAACTATTGAGATAATAATAAAATAATACAAATTATTATTATTATTACTATTATTATGATTTTGTATTGAAAATACACGAAAAAGTATTTAAATTAAATATATATATATATACTTATATATATATATATTATTATTATTATTATTATTATTCTATGCTATTATACAAAAGGAAAAACGTTTTAGACTATATACACAATATTTAAATAAAAACTAAAATAAAATATTAACAACTTAGTGCAAAAAACTGATTTTGGCAAAATTATGCAAATTATACTATATCAAAATGAAAACCAAAACTTAAATTATCATACATATTATTATTATTTCTAATACGTAAAACAACAGTAAACTAAAAGAAGAAGATGCGGATGAACAAATAAAAGCGATCAACAAATTGAGAAAAATACAAAATACAAAAAAAAAAAAAAAAAACGAAAACT